CTACAAAGTGATAGTATATTTGCCAAATAGGTCTTCCTGACATAATGGTTTGAAGATAATAAAATCTGAGTTTTACAAAATATAGTATTTGGCCTGTGCATGAATTCCCTTTAAGAAAGCCAAATATAGGCGCGCCTGGGTGGCTTATTCAGTTAAGTGTCCGACTTCGGCTCTGGTCATTATCTCACAGTTCCTGGGTTCGAGGTCTGCGACGGGCTCTGTGCTGACAGCTCAGAGCTGGAAGCCTGTTTCTGATTCTGTATCTCCCCCTTTCTCTGACCTTTCCCTGTTCATGCTGTCTCTCTCTCTCTCAGAAAAAAATAAAACATAAAAAAAAATTAAAAAGAAAGCCAAATATAATACCTATGGAAGTTCAGAAGTATGTAAATTTGCTACTAGTATTCACATCACAAAAAAAAATATAAAAACTCAACTTCAGGCAAAATTTAAAGAAGGTAAAATACTAACACATCAATATTTTCCAAAAAAATGACCATAAGAATGGAATATAAACTGAATATTCAATAAAAATATTTAATTTGAAGTCATTAATTTTTATCCAGTATGAAAGCATGATTTTATTCCCTTCTTTGTCTAGTAAAATTTTGAATTATTTATACCATTTTCTATAGCTAAAATACTACATTATACTTTAATTTTCATGTACAAAGTATGTGATCAAATCCAAAATAAAACTCTGTCATGTTTAATAATAACAGATATATAATTTGATTAAGAGTTTAATGATACAACTTGTGCTATGATTTCAAGGTTTTTATATTTAAGTTTAATTTTTTAATTCTTTCAAGTACTTAAAAATAAATCTAGCATGCTTGTATACATTTCAACAAACTAGAAAATCCTGTAACTATGTTCTGTACATCTGCTCACTATAATGTACATTTACATACCTATGTGAAGTACAAATTTGTAAACATGAACATTTGAAGCTTTGAAAGGAAATACTAGTCTTTTTCTTCTCAATATTTTATTGAAACAGCATGTCAAAATTTGGCCAGCACCACACATGTAAATAGTTTTAATACTGAATATGTTTCAAATATTATCTCTATATATTTGTCCTGCTTTATGTTGTAACCTAAACCATGTTTATTTGTACAGTTTTAATACAAATTATCATTTAATTGCAAGCCAAACCTAAGAAGATTACATTTATAGGAAGGCACTTATATCAAAGCAAGTGCCACCAATGTCTAAGCTATGCGTTTGGTTTGTTTAAAAAAATTTTTTTTTATGTTTTATTTATTTCTAGGAGAGAGAGACAGCGTGAGCAGGGGAGGGTCAGAGAGAGAGGGAGTCACAGACTGAAACAGGCTCCAGGCTCTGAGCTGGCAGTCAGCACAGAGCCCGACGCGGGGCTCGAACCCACGAACCGCGAGATCATGACCTAAGCGAAAGTCGGACGCTTAACCGACTAAGCCACCCAGGCGCCCCTCGTTTGGTTTGTTTTAAACTGCTCCAATAAACATGCTAAATTCCAGTGAAATCAACTGGCAAATTGTTGCTGTATATCAGAATATTTTTATTTTGGGCTAATTGAAGATTTTTCAGCGCAAAGACAACTTATCTCTAAGTTGGAGTAAAAACACTGTACCTCCAACCTGTCAATTCAATTCACAAAATACAGTTCATGCAATTAGATATTTCTAAGAATGTTAAAATCTGCTTTTCCACATAAGTATATATAATTAATAGTATAAGTATGCAATGAGTTGGTGTTCTTTGTGGCATCTCTTTTTGAAGAGAGGAAGAAGAGAAACAGTATAAGTTATTTTAAACAAAACTAAACTAAAACTCCACTGATTTTATAAATTACAATGTGACATCTGGAATTTATCAAATTGCATGTTCAGATAAGGAAAATATTTCTTATTGAGATTTAGTAAGGAGAAAACAACTATATATAACCCTACAGTATACATGGACATATACTTCCATTGTCTGAAAGCATCTAAATTTTTCATCAGCATGTTTATAAATTTTTGTAAAGTGTATTTTAAGTATTTGTACAAAACATTTATTTCAATAATATTCTGACTTAGCATTACACTAGTGACACTTAAAAGATACATATTATCTGCCTTATGTATACCATGATTTTCCCTAAAATGCATAATATAAGTGATTAGAAAAGTGAAAGAGAAACCCTCCAAAATGTCAAATACACATCCTTATTGTTCTTCATCACTGGCACCTTGTCAAGTTGTCAGCATATAGGACTCTGATCATTCAAAGACTGATTCACTGACTCATAACTTGCTAATTCCAGTTGTGCATTTCTTCTCATGCCATAGATATTCTTCAAACTTCTAAAAGAAAAATAATGTCTCTGTTCACTTCCAGACCACATGTAGAACCCATGCCTAATAGCAATGAAATATCATAAATATTTACCTTCATAGCTTAGGGAAATATAACTTTTCATTTTTGTAGTACAGTGAAGAGGAACAATGATATTAATGTTTGAAGACTCTAATATTATGTAATCTGAAGTTACAATTACATTCAAAATGTAATTTCCAGAGGGCTTATCTCACTATTTAATGAAAAGAAATAATAATTTTGATGTTTTAAGTGACATTACTGAAAGTTATATATTGGTTGTTAAAATGTAATTAATAGAGAATTTATCCACTTAGACATGTGTTCTGTAACAAGGCTCAAAATTGAAATAAAAGTCCTTGACTTTTATTTAACTTTTATTTAACAGTTTAACTGACTATTCCATAAAAGAGAACCTTCCTGACAAGGGAATCTCACTAAAGGTCTAGGCTTGACTGAGAGTTGTGCGAAGATAAAGAAACACTTATTTCCTGATTCAATGTACAGATTTTACTAAGCTGATGAAAAGTTTTTCTCTAGATTTACTTGGGGTAAGTTATACTACCAGGCTGAATCAAGAATCAGATTTTATACATCTAATCAGCTAAATTAAGATGCTTTCTTTTAAAATGGGTGAAAGGGTAAATATAAATGTATGATGAAGCCAAATGTAAATAGCATTTTTAATTATTGGATTTGGGTGTCTATTAAGTAACATTTGGCTACATTCATAGATAACTATTCACACCTTGTATAAACAGACTTGTTTTTGATTTTTGTATATTTTTATTTTTTTAATTTTAAGGGTTTTTTTAACTTAATTCATATGAAATTAATAGAATTCCATAGCATTTTGTTTTTTATTCTATATCCATAGCTTTGATTTACCAAATTACTGAAGTTCTGCACTATACATCCTATCAAGGAGTAAGAATTTATTCATTATAAAATTGTAAGGACACTAAATATTAATTATGCATCAGTTGAAATTGTTAGCTGTTTCCTACAGATAAGTAACTTATTTAGAAAGTAGGGGACAGCTTACTGAACTTCTTGAAGTCTCTTCCAAATCCAATTTTCCATGAAGGCTTTCCCTTGGTTACTTATTCAATTAAAAGTATGAAATGAAAATTTATAAACATATATTAAAAACAGCTTCTAATATTTAAACTTTTACCCCTTTATATTAATCACCTTTACCAATATAGTTCTGTATTATCAATTTTAATATCTGAAATATAAATCATGGGTTACTATACTTGAGCAGATACAAAATTAGTGCCTACTCTTTATTAAGTGTGATTGCTGCTTTAATCCCTGATTTGTTAAACCTGGTTAGTACAGATCTCCTGCCCCAAAGACTTTTATATCAGGTATCTAATTAGTTTGTGCCACAAATAATATTTCATCTTGACTAGACTAGTAAGTTTAAATGTAACCATGTGTTGTTCTATCCCTATATCCAAAAGTGAAGGACAATATAATTTTAATGTATATATGTGAAGGCACATTTATAAAGTACATTTAAGAGGAAATAACCATTTTGAGAAAAATAAATGATTAATGTGTTTTTCCTAATATGTGTTAGAAAAGTTAAAGAAAGTAGTTTAGAAGTTTAGTTAGTTTGTCAACAGTCAAGCCATGCCATTGTGATGTGAAGCACCTTGGCTTCATAAATTATAGACTAGTGGCATAAACATTTTAATATGATTTATTTTTAAGGGGTTATATGTAGGTTATACTTTACAAGTTTTTTCATAAAATTTAGGGTCTGGTGAAAGGAAACATTCAAATTCATAAACTAAAATAAAATCTCATTTATGCTAGTTTTTGTCTAGTTAGTCCAATTTACCATGACTGACTCAAAGGGGTGGAATTAAATTATACCAATATAATGAAATTTTCATATTTATGGACTCAAATATAGTATCTCCTTTCAAAGAGTGTTTATTAGTCATTTTAGAGAACTGAGTATAAAACACCAGGTTTGTTAAGGGAATAAGCAAATAAGCTTCACCTGAGAATGACCCAAAAAATAAAATGAAAGATCAAAATTATTTAGAATATTTTGCTTTTCATTTGATCTTTGTGTTCTTTCAGGATTAAATGATGCTTAGGCTGCAATGATTAATATTTGAAAATTTGTGTCCTTGTTTGTACCTCAGAATTGAGATTAGTAGCTTCTTGAGCATCAGAGTTTAAAAGTGTAAGGCAAATAAAAAATGAATTTTTTCTACAATGCTAGAGAATTACAATTAATATAATATTCATAGATAAAACTAAAATTGTTTCACTGCTTTCACAAGAATTAAATTCATCCTCTTTTGGTTATTGTCAATATGTAAGAGGCAATTGACATGGTAAACTGACATCGCAATAAGTAGAGGCTTCACCTGGAGTCAATTTTCACCTGTAGTCTATGTCATCAAATAATATTGACTATCTTACTTTGAGGTCCAAGACTACTGTAAGCAGAGATTGTTACAGGTCATATTTGACCTATAACAACTTCTTGTGAACATCTGATAAGGCACTTTAAATGCATAACACAGAAATACCCTCTGATAATAAAGCTTTCAAAGACCAAAGCTCTTGACCTTTCTTTGGATACAAAATACATGCCTATGTGTAATTGTTTCAGGAATGTGACTATCCCATTAAAGGCAATTATTAATTGATGGACACCAATAATCATGATTGCATTTAGCTTCTCCAAAAGAAACGTGACTATTGTCATTCACTTTGAGATGATTGGCAACATTTACCAGTCTAGATGGCACTGAATTGTACCTATAAAAACCATAGGAAAAATGGAGAGAGCAACCCGTTGCTTCCTGGGCAATGGAGTTTGGTGATAAAATATTTCCAGGTGACTGTAATACATACAACATTTGATTGGAAGAATTAGGTGCCTGTAGACACTGCCCTTTGAAGTCTTCAAATGGACCATTTTTTGAGTTAGCAAATCCCAGAGAAGATAATGTGGAAAGTTCCATCATGGGTGGGGCTAAACACTGAGAACTGTTTCTGCTTGCCAGTCTTTCAGGAGGTGGCAAGACAAAATGCTGCTGTCGCCAAAAGTTATTTGGGCAAATCTTGCAGCAGAGGGGCAGGTTGATATTGTGCAGATACACCTCTGGACAGGGCCTTCCAAAGGAGCTTGTAGATAAGTGAAACTTAGGCAGAGAGTAGGGCAGAAAAGGCAAGGAGTTCAAAGGAGGAGTTCCTCCACCAGAGGTAACTGGAGATGAGCCACTGCTTCCACCTGTGAATGACAATCCAGTCAATGAACAATGAACTTGATTTTCCTATTGAATGAGTACTAATGACCATAAACGTCTCTGTTTCATTCTTCAATTAGCTATTCTGCCAGTTCACAGTTCTTTTTACTTATTTGGGAAAGAATATGATCATTCTCCCGAGCAAAGTTTATACAGTATCTTTACTACTCCCATTATTACTCTTAGCACTACCATTACGTACCATGTATTGAGCATTCATCAGTATGCTCGAGAACTGTGCTATGCACTTGGACATTTATCCAATTAAACAGTACTCAGAGCTAATTATGTCTTTCCAATTAAAAAAAGGTGTCCTAGGGGCGCCTGGGTGGCTCAATTGGTTAAGCGTCCGACTTCGGCTCAGGTCATGATCTCACAGTTCGTGGGTTTGGGCCCCGCGTCAGGCTCTGTGCTGACAGCTCATTCAGAGCCTGGAGGCTGTTTCAGATTCTGTGTCTCCCTCTTTCTCTGACCCTGCCCTGTTCATGCTCGCTCTCTCTCTCTCTCTCTCTCTCTCAGAAATAAATAAAACAAACAACAACAAAAAAAGGTTTTCTAAACCTTAAAAACTTTACAAAAATAGATATTTGATTAAATGGAAAAAAATTGGTTAGGATTCCGTAGAAAGCTTCAGTCTTGATTTAAAAAAAAAATTGGAGAACATGAAAATATCTTTTTTAAATTTTTTAATGTTTATTTAATTTTGACAGAGACAGTGAGCTGTGGAGTGGCAGAAAGAGAGAGAGAGAGAGAGAGAGAGAGAGAGAGAGAGAGAGAGAATCTGAAGCAGGCTCCAAGCTCTGAGCTGTCAGTGCAGAGCCCAAAGTAGGGCTTGAGCCCATTAACTGTGAGATCATGACCTGAGCTGAAGTCGGATGCTTAACTGGCTGAGTCACCCAGATGCCCTGAAAATAATCTTTATAAATAAAAATAACATATTTAAGTGCATTTTTCTCATATGAAAGTCATGGATTGGAAGACTTATATGGTACACTATGTCAAAATTAAAGACAAATTTTTAGGTTAAAAATATCAAAATAAAAATGAAAGTGTTATATTAATGTTGTCATGTGATCTTTTTGTTTGCTTAGCATCTACTAAAGCTAGGAATAATTATAAGGTCCAGGAAAATCTAGACTTTCTACATTATTTTCATGCTTGAATTTTTAAAATTTGGTTATTGACTGAACTTAATCAGTTATTTTTGTGTTTTTCTTTTTTTTTGGTGTTGCTGTTGTTTTTCTTAACTATTTTGTGTATGTAGTCATAGCCTATGTCTTTATTAACAGGGTGGCAAATATATTTTATAATTAAACATTAAAAAGCTATTTTAAAATGGTAAGCCTTATTCTTGGCAAACTGAAAACAATCTGGACATTTAAATAATTAATAAAACTGTATATTTTAAATTATCAATTAATGATCATATTTAGCTTTTTCTCTTTACTAGTGCACTTTGTGTTGACATGGATATTTTAAAAGCATCCTGCCTAGATGCTGTTCAAGTGATACCACCAAATAAAATGTTAGCACTTTTCCACACAACTCTGTAAACCAAATTATACAATCAATCCAGTGAACTGATTAAAAGTGGTCTGTTTTCAATGTTATGGTATTATGTAAAATTCAACCTAACTATAATGATAATTTTCTCCATGATTATAACCTTGAATTAATGTTCAAAGACAAACAATGTTAATGGAGTAAAGACAAAAGCAATAATATAATTCTATGTTGTTTGCAAATACTCCTTTATTTATTATTAAACACCAGAGAAATGATGGTATACATTCTTCCACCAGAAAGCCTGCATTGTCTAATTATTATTATTATTTATGTAATGCTGTACATGAGAACAAATAAATACCTTGTAAATCATTTTAATGTTGTGGTAATTAAGCTAATTGTGGTAGTTTTAGCATTGTTTTCAACATTCATTTTCCCTATTTAAGATGATAGGAACATTAGAACTATGTGATGATAAAATTTAATGGATGTCATTTTAACATGTGCTGAAAGTTTATGAGAAACATACTTATTTCAATATCAGATATAATTGCAAACAATCCCACAAATGCACCACAGGTGATTCTAAAGAATATGAATATTGAGAAGTTGAAGAATCCAGGTGAGATATGGAGATCTCAGGATGTATATCTCCAGAGGGCTGAAGTCAAGAAATCCATTACCATGGCTCTGCTCTTTTCCTTCATGCCTATTCCCCACTTTTTGCCTTTTACCTCCTCATCAAGACAAATATAAACCTACTTCCCTGTAAACACACATTTTCTGACATGTACTTCCCCTTTTGTGTAGTATTTGCTACAGAAGTTCTGATTGTTGTTACTTCATTAACGTTTAAAAGTAAATATTAGTAAAACTTTCCTTACTTTGTGTATCTGCACCAAAAGTTTTAAAATCCAGAGTGAGAGAAGGCCTCCATGGGTAGGTCTCTAAAAGCTCATCCAATACACCCCTGAAAAATAAATATAACTAATCAGAAAGTCCCAAATTCAATTTTTGAGAAAAATGATTTATGTAAAGTTTTAAGTTATTTTATTATAATTTTTAGGAGTCAATATCTGAAATATATTTTTATAGCTAGACTACTGAATAAAATTCACGGTAATTATTCCCTGAATAATAATCCCAGGAATCTAGAATAAGCAATATCTTAAAAGTGGGTTGGGGAGGGAAAACGAGGAGCAAGATTTTACAGAAAAAACACTAGGTTTTTTTCCTACCACCTACTAGTTACAAAGCTTTGGGCTTCTGAGTCTCTGAGCCACAGTCTCCTTATCTGTAATTCTTGTGAAAACAGCTATATAAACTTTAGATATGATTGTTATGTTGCTTACCTGGTTCTTCCAGGATCTCTAAATCCTTTAGCAAAAGGATTCCTGTCTATTTTCAGTTTGGTAATCTATGGATTCAAGGAAGGAAGGAAGGAAGGAAGGAAGGAAGGAAGGAAGGAAGGAAGGAAGGAAGGAAGGAAGGAAGGAAGAAAGAAAGAAAGAAAGAAAGAAAGAAAGAAAGAAAGAAAGAAAGAAAGAAAGAAAGGAAAAAGATAGTGTCAGTGCTTTCAGTTACAACACTTTCACCCTTGCTTTTAATGGTTACAACAATCACAAAACACTTCAATGTGTAATATAGTATATTCAATTAGTATAAACACATTTGTTAGTTGAATTTAAAATGGTTACCTCCTTTCTCCCCTGGCACTCTTTGCTCTGTTCTCCTTTATAATACAAGATGCACGCAATTTGCAATGAAGCTTGCCTAAATGACAATGCAATAAGACTACGAATTTTTTAAACTGTGGAAAATTTCATCCATATAGTACAGCTTGCCTCTTTCCAGAAAGTCCCTCTGGAGCCATCCCTGCTTTCCTGGGACCTAGCTGTCCTTACCTGCTGGTTTTGGTAAGCAGTCACTGTGGTGAACTCAGTTTCTTTAAAGAAGAACGTTTTAACCCCTTCAATGGGCAGGGACTGAATCCAGGACAAGTCACCTTTGCTGTCCTGTTCCATCACATGCACACAGGGCTTGTACTTGTGCATGACTGCAGAATGATCTGGAAGAGAAATTATCAAATGTTGCCTAGAAATCAGCTTTCCTTCTGCAACATGGGTTTCCTCTCATTGGCGCCCCCAACATACCCACATGCAAAAGTGAGGCTAAACCAGAAAGGTTAGGTTAACCACACATAAAGACTTTTCTGTGCCATTTGGTACTGGACAGACACACTCAGGCCTAAGAGGTTTCCAGATTGAAGCACTACAGTAGCATCTGGAAGCTGTAATTCCATTTCCAGATGAGGTCTTTTCTTGCTTCCAAATGCAGGTGACCATGTGATATCTCCAAGTGTCACTAGGATCTGACTGCCTGCTATACATTCCCTGGACTTATGGTAACTGAAGGGCAGCCCCCTGATATACCCCACTTCCTAATTTTGTGGCCGGCACAGGGCAGGACAGGCAGGGCAGGGGCAGGATGCATGTGGAAAAAAGGCTCAAGATCCAGGTAACCAGAAAATAACTTCTTTCATAAGGGCAAACTGTGGAGGAGATTCCTGTCACACCATGCCATACAGAAGGTGTGCCCATCTAGGAGAAAGCAATCAGAGCTCACAATGATTGCTCTAGAGGCTGTAATGCTAGACAGCTTCACAAAGTGCATTCCCTTCCACACTCCCTGACCAGACATTATCACTTAAAAAAATCTCATTTGGTCTTCAAATTTCCCTTGCTCACTGTTTCCAACACCCAGCACTCTCAGATGCTAAACAAAGGTCACAGGAGTTACTCTGGTAACAATACCAGAACTTAAACAATTCCTAAGACCACCTGGTAGAAGTCTCCTAGGCCTCTCTAGAGCGACCTGAAGGTTGACGCGTTGGCACCTCCCTCCCCTCCTCACAAAAAGGATTGCGAACACTTACATGGCCTTTGTCATCCATCTCATTGTTGGTGAGTTTCAATCTATCAAAGCTGATGATCTGCCGCATCCAGGTCTCTCCAGGGCAGGGGGAGTCCGGGTGAACATAGAACCTGGGAGTGATGCAGGAGTGATCTGTATTCACAGCTACCATCCACTGCGAGCTGTGGTACACATACCTGAAAAGGCAGAGAGCATGTGGGTTTAGGCTCAGTGGGCCAAAGCCAGCTGTGTGGGAGGAAGAGTGCTGGATCCAGTCCTACAGGCATTAACCAAGGTTTGCCTGCTAATCACAAAGGCTACTAGTAGGAGATCCAACTTGTTTTCCAAAAGGCATTCAGGGACAAAAAGCAAACAGTATATAAGTATATGTCAATATGGCAATGAGAAAGAATGAAATCTGGCCATGTGTAGCAACATGGATGGAACTTGAGGGTGTTATGCTGAGTGAAAAGGACAGCTACCATGTTTGCATGTATATAAGGATTAGAAGGAAATTAACGGAGGACCTTGGGGAAGAAGAATAGTGAGAACAAACTGAGGACTGATGGGGGTGGGGGAAGGGTAAGGAAGTGATGGGCATGGAGGAGGACACTTGTGGGGATGAGCACAGGGTGTTATATGGAAGCCAACTTGACAATAAACTATTTAAAAAATTATATGTCAATAGAATGCAATGAAGTTCCAGGGCAAGTATAATGTCATGGGATTTCAGAGTCTGGTTTGTATTTCCTCACAGAAACAGCAACAGAAATTGATCTAATCCATTTCACTGCACAGATACAGCTGAAAAATCCTCATACTTCCAGAAGTATAGAGAAAAAGCAAAAAGGTGAGGAGAGTGCCTGTCCAACCTACCTCCACCAGTCACCCCCAAAGCCCTTTCACCAACAAGGCTTCACATCAATATACTCCCTGGAACTCTAGCCCATGAGCCTCAGGACTGATTTTCACCCTGTTTCCAATCTCAGCCATTCAACTGTGCACTGCATTCCAAAGTCAGCTCAAACATGAGAAGCAATCAACTTGTTCTATTTATAAGCTGCAGCTCCAGTAGGCTCTTGAACTGCACTTTCTCGTTGCCCCTCAAATACAGAACTGGGCATGATGTGGGCTTTCTCTTAGAAAGGTTAGACATCCAATTCAGTGGAACACTCACCGCCCAAGTAAGGGTGCTCCTGTACAACCCCCATAGCCTCTAAGTCAAAGCTCTGGTGCAACTGTGCCTCTGGGATGCTAGCACTGAAGGACCTCTTGGTTTTAGTTTGTAATTTCTAGGACATGACCACCACTTGAGGAAAGAGGCTAAGGAAGGAAAAATAGACCTAAATATAACTGCTAGATTAGGCTTAGATGGCCAATCAGAACATTTCTCCAAGACCCTGATGCCAAAGTAGCACAGCCCAGAGCCCAGTGCAGCTTCTGAAGCACAGGCATTTCTTCCTAAATTCTGTCCAACAACTTCCTTCCTACCTGCCTGAGTCCACACCCTCTGCAGTTGGCACAGACAAAGCCAGAGCAGTGGATAAACAAAGGATTTGGAGTACTGAAGCACCAAATGGCACCTGCTCTAGGAATAAGAAGAAAGAGTCAAGACAGTTTTTCTCAGTTTGAACCTCCATTTGAGTGAGAATATTCAACCCCCAAATCCCTCAGGAGAGCAGTCCCACCCCCCATGGTAGAGCTTTCAAAATAGCATTCTTAGGTTCCATAGATCTGAATTACCATTCCAACCTGAACTTAGGGTAAGCTCTCTTTGGGCCTAGTTACCTATAACGTTTGGAATCTACTGGCACCATGTCAATGGCCACATAGTACTGCTTCCCTGGGTCCAGCCCTTTCACTTTGACTCGAACAGAGGGGAACATCCGCCTGTGGGAAAGAAAATAGCCACTCACCTAGTGCTTTTAGAGAAATTTGGAGGGGATGGGGTTGGGAACAAATGAAAAGTGAAGAAATTCACAATACCTTCCCCATTCTAAGATGGATTCAAAGAATGATATTTGCTACAGGAGAAAAATTGTTGATTGTTTGCTTGATTTAACAGGTTTTGGATTTCTGAGTGGAGTAGAATATTCTTACGACAAAGCTTTGTCCACCCCACTCCCCACCACTGCCGTTAATAAAAAGCTATATAAAAGAAAGTTGAGAAAAACTGTACCTGGCCCCTGAGTTCTCAGCAGTACTTTCTGTGAGGCATATTTGGGAAAGACTGAAATTAGGAAGGTTCACACACAAAAAAATTACCCAGCTGATGTGAAGGTGTCCCAAAGCAAGAGGTGAAAGAAAAAAAAAAAAAGCCCACCTCAAATTGCCCCAGGCTAGCAGGGATGGCAACTGGGGATCTGCTAGATGAGATATTGTCCATCAGTAGCTGTGAGGCTTTAAGGAAAATTTCTTGAAGTTACTGTACACGGGAAAGAAAAGCTGAGCCACTAACATGGTCAGGCAGTCCTAGGGCGATTTATTGAGAGGCGGGGACTTTCTAATTCCTGTCGGGGTAAGGTTGGATATAGAGCTAAAAACTGGAGGCATCAAATCTTATGAGAGTGATAAATTAAGCGCCTACTGTGTGCATCCCTTGAACAGTTTGGGCAGAGCCGAACCTGCCAGCTTTGGTAATGATCATCTCAGTCCCGATGTCATGAAATCTCTTCCACAGTTCGGATCCTTGAAGCTCTATTTGGATAGGACCTTTCTCTCCTAGATTATTGCCTCTGTTCTGGTCATGGTCATCACTGTCGCTGCCGCTACAAGCTGAGAAAGCAGTTGCTGAAGGCTCTGTCTTGGGTCGCTTTCCTGCTTGACACAGAGACGCCAGAGTTTGAGAGAGGTTCGGAGTTCCCGCGTCCCCTTCTCGCTGATGCCGGTCTTGGGACAGACCGACACCGACATAGTCTCTTTTCCCTGGGAACCTTGAAGGCAGATCCTTAAATTCCCCACAATACCCACTGTGGCCCCTTTGACGGGGAGGAAAGGACCCAGATCTTGTCCTGGGAAAGGTACTATCCTTCTTCAAATTTGCCCATTCTCTCTCTCTCTCCCCCTCGGGACTTTTGGACCCCGAGGCTGAATCCCCTCCTAATCAGGGTGCGTACCTGCTTCCTACCAGGAGAAACAACTATGTTCTGGCTCTCAGGGCTTTGGGGAGGTTGAAGAGTCTAACTTCTCCACAAACATATAGGGACGCTCTCCTTCACCGCAAATGAACCACAGCAATATGTATGGACTGAACTTGGAGGCTCTGAAGCTTCCCCTGTAGCCAAATGACCAACGTGTCTCCGCGGCCCCAAACGTGGCAATCCAGCTGGGCCAAAGCATCCTAGTATGCGACTAGCAACCCTCTCTCAGCTTCATGGGACTTGCGGATCCTGCGTGCTCCGGTAGCGGGCTCAGGGCTTTGGGGATGCGTTAGGAATACTCACCGGGCTGCTCCCTCTTCTTCCCTGCGGCACTGTTCCTTCTCTCCTCCTCCTCTCCGCCCTCTTTCTTCAGCAGTTCAGGCTGCGTCTCCTCTTTTTGATTTTTCAGTTTTCTTTTCCTGGGTCTTCCCACCAAGGCTTCCACCGAGAAGGCAAGAGCCCTAGCGCTCAGAGCCATCTCCGGAGGGGGGAAGGGAATGTGCAATGCAAAGTTTCAACCTAAGCTAGGTTAGGGAGGGAGAGGGAAGGAGGGTGCAGAGGATAGGGCAAAGAGAGAAAGCAGGAAAACTCTCAAATTAGAAAAACAATATCTGGATCTATATTTAGAGGGAAAAAAGTGTGTGTGTAATTTTTATATATACGTATTTTTTTTCTTTGAATAGAGAGAATGAAAGAAGAGGAAAATCGAACTGGAGCCGAAGACTTCTGGAGTCTAGTCCCTCTTTCCTTTGTGGTTTCCTCCCTCCCAGTGGATATGTGCAGACCATCAGTCCTCAAATCGCTGATTTCAAGACTTGGCAGAGCACAGAGATTGGCAAACATAGACCTTTTAGGGAGCAGACTTGCCTCCAATAGATGCTCAGGCAGCTTGGATTGGGAGATACTGTTGCATCCTACTGAGTGAAAACCAGGCCAGTCACAGCGTCCACTGTTTGTTTTGGAAACTGTTGGGAGCATAAAAAAATAAAAAAATAAAAACAAAACAACAACAACAAAACAAAAACCACCATGAGTGACACTTCAGAGTCTGATAGTAGTAGAGATGTAAGAATGAGGGGCAGGGAGAGTGGAGAGAGGGTTGAGGGCTGGCTGGAAAGGGGCTCCAGAAGAGGGATACACAAACTTACTGTTTTACACTGAATTGTGACACTCAAAACTATGCAAAATAATTGCTCACGGAGAGTCCACTATTCCAACAAAAGTGCAAATATTATTTAACCAGATTTAGAGGAATGTATTTGGGTCTTTTGCTTTGCAGTGAGTGCACTGGGGAAAAGTAGAGGAGTGCAAGATTTCTGGACAAGTTTGTTCTAGAGTCTAGGTCTCAAAATCAGTGGATCATGCACTAGTGTATCCTATCTATCCAGGTGGGGAGGCAAGTGCCAGCATCATCAAGAGACTCTTAGAAGCCCCCTGTTAATGATCAGAGTAAACCAGGGCCTACAAGCCCTGCTTTTGATGGAGCCCAATATCCCTATACACAGCTTTTTCTTAACTCCCATGACTTATTCATCAAACACAGTCTAAGGACTCCAGGGCCACCAGCAGAGCACCAACCTGAACATTGCTCCCAAAATGCCACACTTCAACATATTGGGCTCAAATAATTAATTTGTGTCTCCTGGACTATATTCCTGGGCTAGGTTTTACTTTTCCTTAAAATGAGCAAAGACACATTTTTTTTTTGTATGCCAGGAAGGGAGTTGCCTACCACTTCCAAGAAGCATGTTTATACATACAGATATGAGATGTCTGCCTGTATGCATCTACTTTTCATCAGAAGTAAGAAATTAGGCACTCCTGGACTCTTTCGCAGACTGCATTTTAACTAATAATATTTGCATTTTTTATTCAGAAAATGTCTACCATTCTCCTCTGATACGTTTGCTGAAAGAACATTTAAAGTCAATCCAACTCTGTTAAAAATAGGATGGAACTTGAATGAAATGATGGTATCTCAGTACTGGAGTTTGACAGTAAAAGAATTTTTGTGGTCTGTTAATTTCACCTCCTTCCATACATATGTGAGGTGATAATTGTGGTGGTGGTTGAACTGGTGGAGGGGCACATCCAGCTAATCCATGGCAAGGCAGTTTTCAGGACTTCAGACAATTGGGTATAACTTTAAGAATCTGATGATCTCAGATTGTATGACAAAGGGTTAGTTACAGCCTGAATAATGCTGAAGGGCTTGGTTCAATAACCAATTATACCCTACTTACCAGGCAAGGCTGGAAAAGACCTTAACCTGAAGGGGCAGAATGAAGTGCAAAGTGCAAGGAGCACTTGGGCTGAAAAACAGCCAGGTCTGGATATGATCTTCGCCACATCTTCGTGAACATTTGTTTTTGTTTTTGTTTTTTTCCTGTGCCATTAAAGGGGGACGATATTAATGCATTTACCCATCCCTTCTTATTTGGAAGATGTATTTTTTTTAATCCATTGTATGTTCTTAGCTAAAAGACACAGCTCAGAAACAGAAAAGTCAAGAGTTCATTTGTTAAATTTAGAGTGTTAATCACAATGTACCACTTGTATCAGTGTCTCCTAATATGGGCATTTTCTTGCTTTTGAATGATTGCTCATTTTATTACTGAAAGATAGGAAATCGCCTTCTGTACTAACGTGAGGTTTTGCTTAGTAATTTTTTTAACCCAGTTTCTGGAAAACTAAAGGAAAAGATGGTTGTTGCAATGTCCATTCTAGTATTTCAGACTATCTACTATATGATGTGATATTTTAAGTCAAATAAATAGCACATCTTGGATATAAGTTCCTTTCCTGGATAAACTTATTCCTTAATATTTATTACACACACACACACACACACACACACACACACACAACTTAGTCATCCAGGACTTTTTATTTTGTAATCTAAACTTTTTCCATCCCCTTATCAGTATTTATTTGATGAAATCACTGGGAGAAATGGAACTCAGCTCTCCCTGAGTGTACTGGACAAGGATGTAGTTAATTCCTTTTAACTTTTATCTGAGAGAAAAATTATTGGAGGCCACAGAACCAGGTTTGCAAGTTGTTCAGCTGCTGAAGCACTAGGCCGTCAGGTACTGGGTGCATGAAGGAGATACATTTATGGTCAGTAATTCATTTCCCATAGCTGGAAAGTGTAGTCTCTTTGTTTTAGCCTGGAACACCCATTAACATTTATAAGAGGTTTTTCAAACCATGTGGAACATCCAGAAGAGACCCTAGGACTCACAGGTGCTCATATTAGAAAGAAGAATGATTTTTAAAGAACTTTGACGATTGGGGGCACCTAAGTGGCTCAGTCTGTTAAGTGTCCAACTCTCAGTTTCAACTCAGGTAATTATCTCACAGTTCCAGAGATAGAGCCCCACGTTGGGCTATTGCTCTGCACTGACAGAGAGAAGCCTTCTTGGGATTCTCTCTCTCTCTCTCTCTCTCTCTCTCAAAATAAATAAATAAGATATTTAAAGATAATTTTAAGAGACACCTGGGTGGCTCAGTCTGTTAAGCGTCCGACTTTGGCTCAGGTCATGATTTCATGGTTCTTGGGTTTGAGCCCCATGTCAGGCTCTATGCTGAATGCTTGCTCAGAGCCTGGAGCCTGCTTTGGATTCTGTTTCTCCTTCCCTCTCTGCCTCCTCCCTCACTCACACTCTGTCTCACTCTGTCTCTAAATATTTATATTTACATAAATAAATGTAAAAAAAGTAAAAAATAATTTTAAAAAATTTAAAATTTGACAACTGAAAAATACAGTAAAATGTTGATTTTGAATTATCAAAGCTGCAACTGGAAACACACAAAATTTATCATTTGAAGGAAAAATGCATTTGCGGTTGGCACAAATCAAATCTGTGATAGATATATGATGATAGATACAGAGGATAAAGATGTGCCTTAAGGGATATATGGTTTATTAGAACACTTATTCAGTATGAAATCTGAACCTGATTTAAGGAAATAGAAATAAATTTGTAATTATTTAATAAAAATTCCAATATTTTCAAAATTAGTATAAATAGGCATGTGAATTAAGACATGCACAAAATATGGTCAGCCCTCAAATCATTGCTTTTGGTAAACTGTACGTACATTAAAGTAAATGTTTAAAATTTAATTAATGTATCTGAAAGTATTAAGTTTCTCAGAAATATTAAGGGCAAAGATTCATGGCCTCTCTAGCTTTCTATATAGGCAATATGAGTTATTTGAAGACAAACTTATGTATAAAAGGAACTAAGTCAGCTTGGAGGAAAAAAAAATCCCCCTGTGTTTTACAGCATTTACTAACTAAGGGGATGATGTCAAACTCATATGGAAGAATTCCAAAAGCTACTTTTAATTTATAAGGGAAAGAATAGCATAAATGAAATATTTCAGCTATATATTTATATTAATTATGAATAAAATAAGATGCTTTGAGATTGATTGGATACCTAGTGCATACTGTGGCAGAAGCAACTTCATGATAGAAATTGTTTCCTCTAATTAGGGGGACCTGGGAGGCTTAGTCAGTTAAGCCTCCGACTCTTGATTTTGGGTCAGGTCATGATCTCATGGTTTATAGTACTGAGCACTGCGTCAGGCTCCATGCTGGCAGTGTGAAGCCCGCTTGAGTTTCTCTCTCTGTCCTTCCCCCGCTCGCACTCGCTCGCTCTCTCTCTCTCAAAATAAATAAATAATATTCAAAAAGAAAAAGAAAAAGAACTTGTTTCCTCCAGTTGTTATTCTTCCTTGTCTCCCTTGATTATCATTCCCCATGGTTAAGATATTTTGCCATAGTGCCAAGCTTGTAGAATGTCAGTCTGAAATAAATTGCCTGTGAGCATTTTTTCCCAGTTTCCTCACAACATTGTTTGAGTAGTTGAATTCAGCTTTGCCGAACTACCTAATTGTTTCAGCAAAGAAATCACCATTGTTTCCTTAAGTACCATTTTAGCTAGGTTTCTATCACTTGTAACCTTTATGACTTTATATTGTGGTGTGTGAAGTTTAATGCTGGGTCATTCTAACTTGGGTTTAATGGCTTATAAATTACCTTAACTTCCCTCATCCTCAATCCTTCCTTTGCTAGACTTTTCTTTTATAAGGTGTTTCCATTTCCAAGGATAAGAATTAGAATTACCATCAAATATGCGTTATGCATCAACCCCAAAGAAACTGGACTAGGATTTGAGAAATGGCAACAGTTGCTGGTTTGATAGTTAAAAAAATTAGTTTAATGTCTATTTTTGAGAGAGAGACAGAGCACTAGAGGCGGAGGTGCAGAGAGAGAGAGGGAGACACCAAATTCAAAGCAGGCTCCAGGCTCTGAGCTGTCAGTACAGAGCTCAACTGGGAGATCATGACCTGAGCCAAACTAGTCCCCTTAACTGACTTAGCCACCCAGGCGCCCCGGTTTTCAATTTTTGTTTTGTTTTGTTTTTAATCTCACATTAGGAAATACTTATTTTCATTTTTAAAATA